CTGTGCGCAAGCCCCACGAGCAACATGGCCTTCGCCGCCACGACACGCGGCAGGGCCCCGGCCGGCTGGGCGGTCCTCGGCGCCCTCTGCGTCCTCGGCGCCCTCTGCGACCCGCCGGACCTGTGGCTAAGTGGGCTTCAGACTCCATCTCTGCAAAACTGTCGCCTGGCAGGCGCCTGGCAGGGCGTGAGAAAATGGCTCGAGAATCACTTGGTTCAGCGCGAGGGAGACAGTCGACCCATTACAGCAGGACATGAGCTTGCAAGGAAGAGACACTCATTCCGACTCAACATGCTGCAGCCACAGAGCCACAGCCAGAAGAGCTGTCAAGTCAGACGTGAGGGAAGTTCTCGCGACTTACAAATGCAACCAATTTATAATGTCCATCGAAGTCACAAACGTGGAGTGCACTTTTAATTCTTTTGGTAACAGCTAATAAAGCTTCATGGTATCAGATATAATCCATGTGCCACACAGCTCACCCAATTAAAGCAAGTCGATGGTTTTCGGCACGGTCACTGACACGCACGACCATCACCAATTTCAGAACGTTTCCAGTCTCAGAAAGAAACCCTGTACCCTCCAGCACCACCTCCCAGGAGCCCACTTCCCGGCTCCCCGGACTTGCCTGCTCCGGGCCTGTCACGAGGGGGAGCACGCGCTCTCGCTCGTCCGTGCTGTAGCATCTCTCTCGACTGAACGGGGGGCCATTGTCTGGCCGGACACACTGCTTATCTGGTCAGCAGCTGCCGGACCTTGTGCTTGTTCACTATGAACACTGCCATACGTGTCGTGCGTGTGTGTGTGCGTGTGCGTGTGAAAGCTTCCGTGTGGACACGCACGACCCGTTCTCCAGGACATGCCTAGGAGTGACGTGGCTGCGACAAAGGGCAACTGTTTCCACAGTGACTGACTGTTGCCCCCTCCACCGGCACTGACAGCGTCGCACCCGCTCCACGTCCTTGCCCCCCGAGTCTGCAGGTGTGAGCTGGCACCTCCCATTTTGATTTGAATTTCCTTGATGACAGGGAGCATCTTTCCATGTGATTGCTGGCAATTTATCCCGGAGAAATGTCAGAAGCGCAACTGACTACAATACGCCAGGTACTTGGCGTTGCGCTGATTCATCGTCAGCCCCTCACGTGATACCGTGTTACACCCCCCGTTTTGTTACGTGGGAAGCTCGAAGCTGGAAAGATTAAACTGCAGACTTGCATTTGAATCTTAAATCCGTTTAAAAGCATAGCCTCACTCGCATCTGTTGGGCTCAGTCTTTGGTAGGCACCCCTCCTGTTTCAGGACAGTCAGCCTGACCGGGCACCGAGCAGTGACACACCAGAGGCCCCGCCAGGCACCGTTCTATGCGGTATCACGGTAGGGGCTGACGATGAATCAGCGCAACGCCAAGTACCTGGCGTATTGTAGTCAGTTGCAATACTGACTACATGTGAATCAGACAGCAGATACTACTGTGAAACAGAAACGCTCCTGGCTGAAAAGTTTGTTTTGTTTTTAAAGAGAAAGGGTTCATCGAGCCATATGCTAGCTGGAAAAGGACCAGGTCCTGGGGACTCAGTCTAAACCCTCAGCAGCTGGGCAGGTGCAGAAAAGCCAGCCTGCAGTCCCTGAGCGGGCGGGCGCTCTTAGACAGCATTTTGGGGAAGAAAGAGGTAAGTCGATCTGAAGGAACTTACGCTGGCTACAGGTGGGGGGAGGGGCAGCGGGGCAGTCTTGCGATGGGTGCGGTCTGTAAGAGTTATCTGTGACCTCTGGTTACACACAAGTCCTGGAAGTTCACAGGCCTGTGGGACGCCGTGACATCTGGTGTGGGCTAATGGACGCCTAGACATTGGGTCAAAGCTCCAATGTACACGTCCGGGAATGCGGGCAGCCTTGGTCAGAGGACGCACAGCTGACGACTGGCTACGCCCGTCTCTTGTTACTGTAGTTTAATTCAGAACACCTCAGATTTCCTCTCCTGTCACCACTGTCCCCTGCACTCTGAAGATGGAGTTCCAGAAGGCCACTTGCCCAGGTTCTTAGTGAGCAAGTGACAGAGCTGGGCTGTGACACCGGATGGGGACTCCAAGTGTGCTCCCCGCAGGTGTGCCCTGTGCTCCTCCCCTCACCCCATGCTCCCCCCACCCTGGTCTTCCCCCCACACCCCGTGCTGGC